ACACCTCAATGTTTGCTCTCAAGAAAGCCTCCAACTCTTTTTCCTCTTCTTCGGCTAAGCCCGAGCCGAGAAGGAAGAAGCATTCTTCATCCCCCTGCTGGACGAGGATTTTCTTCAGTGATTCTTCACTCTTCTCGGTTGGCTCTTTGTCGACATCTTCTAGGACTTCCACATCCTCGTTTTCGATTTCTGCCTTCTCTGGTTCTCGTATGCTACAGGTAGATTTCATTGCTGCCATAGAGTAATTCTTTGCCTGCAACTGATCTCCTCTGACTTCTTCTATTCCATGCTCTGTTGGGAACCGTAGTAGTTGGTGCAATGTTGAGGGAATAGCCCTCATTGCGTGCAGCCATGGCCCTCCCAGAATTGCATTATAAGGGGAGGGTGTGTCGATTACGGTGAACTGTATCTGTATCTTCTTAGTGCCAGCCTGCACCTCCAAGCTCGTTGTTCCCAGTGGCCACATCGGCGTTCCATTGAACCCGACCATTGGGCCATTGGATTGCTCCAAATCGTTTGGGTGAAGGCCAAGCTCCTTGTAACACCTGACGTACATGATGTCACAAGAGCTGCCTTGGTCAATTAGGATGCGCTTCACTTGGCACTCCCCGACCTAGAGCGATACTACCAAGGCATCATTGTGGGAATGTTGGACCATCTCAAGGTCGGCTTCAGTAAAGGACACTGTTGGTCCGTGGTACACCTCGGCCCGATGTCATTTTTTCCCGACCTGGTACACGTGCTGCAAGTGTTTTACCCTCTAGGTCTCCCTCCGTATTTCATTTCGTTGACCTTTGAGCGAATTACATTAATTACCCGAGGTCCGCCTGCCTGCGGTTGTTGTGCTGGGGGGGTGGAGTTGCTAGTGCTTGAGGCAATCTTGCCTGTTCTTCCCGTGTCCTGGCCTCGTCTATAAGGTCCCTTAAATGGCCTTGCCTTACTAGGTCTTCCAGGTGTGCTTTCAGGGCTCTGCAACCCTGAGTCATATGCCCATCTTCGTTATGGTAAGCACAATGCTTACCATGGCTTCTTCCCATAAATTCTCCTGACACCCTGGCTGCTGCTCTGAAATAGGGCTGGGATCGGATTTTGTCTAGGACTTTATGAATTGGGATTCGGAACACAGTTGTGACTACCTGTGTAGCCCTCAGCCCTATCTCTTTGTTGGACCCGTTGTTACCTCGGCCTCGCTTCGGCGAGCCGTTACCTTTCTCTTGCTTTGTCTCTTTAGTTCCTAACGTGTCTTCCTCGGCTCTGGCATACTTCTTGATTCTGGACATGAGCTCTTCCATGCTTTTTGGCAATGTCTTTGCTAAAGACTTTCGTAGTGGACAGTCGTCTTTTAGGCCGTTCTTGAAAGATACGACCGCCACCTCTTGGTTGCACTCGGGTATTCGGTTGAACACCTCGTAGTACCTTTTTGCGTAGGCCCTTAGGCCTTCATCCTTACTGATTCTCAAAGCCATCAATGCGTCCACCCTTAATGGATGTAGCTTGTTTGTTACGAACCTGGCCACAAACATCTCGGTCAGGCCTTCCCAGGTCTTCACACTACCCTTTGGCAGTTTGTGAAACCAATCCGATGCAATCTCCCCGAAGGATGAGGGGAACACTTTGCAGAGCAACGGCTCGTTCCCACTGTACAATGCCATTGAGTTCAGGTATAATCTAACGTGGAAGTTAGGGTCCGACTTATCGTCGTATATTTAGAACCTCGGCATACTGAATCTCTTTGGAGCCTCAAATTTGTCCAATTCCACTGAGAATGGTGTTCTCGGCTTAACAGGTGAAGTTACCTTGGCATCGGCATTATGTTGTTTTCTCTTGAGGTAATCTCTCAAGTCTTCCTTGCTCCGCCCAGGAGCTCGGCTATCTCCCGACTTCAGTCTTTTCGGCATACTACTCTCAGCTTCGTTATGGACCCTTTTTCGACCTTTCTCCATGAGTTGTGTCGAAGCACGGCTCCTGCCTTTGAACATGCCAATGTTCTCTGGGGTCTGCTTCTTTAGTGCGATGTGTCCTTCGTGACTCTTCTCTCCTCGTCCGACCTCCCTGGAAGGCCGGTGAGAGTGTTTTTCGCTTCTGGTGTGCTGAAGGGCTATTGGGATTGGTTTCTGCCCTCCCTTCTGGGCATTGGCCACTGGAATCGACATGTCCTGCAGCGGGAATGGTGGCTGCATGATGTTATTTTGCATCATAAAATTGACGACTGATTGCAGGTCTGCCAACTTTTTTGCCATCTCTTTCACCTCTTCGTCCCTCCGCAGGCATCTATCTTTCCATACCTAGAGGTCGTCCTCGTTGTAGTATCCGTTTCGATCTGGTTTCTTTGGCACGTCGTCATCCTGGCCGACGTCTTTCCTGCCGTGATTCTGGTTCTGAGTCTCCTCATTGCAACCATCTTCCTCCACATTTGGGTCAACGTGTTTACCACTCCCAACAGGGATTTCGTCCCCAACCTTATCCTTCTGTCCGTCACTGGCCATCTATTCTCTTTTCTTTCCCACAGACGGCGCCAAATTGTGTGGGTGAATTTCTGACCACACTGCCAAACTCAGTATTCAGCTGGAAAGCACTGGCAGAATAGATGGCACTTGACTGACCTGCAACAAAAAGAGAAGATTCCGACGGTAGTTCGTCCACCCGGGGGCACTCCGACGATCAAGTCAGTATATCTCAAAGATAATCAATAGTGCTAATCTCACTGTTCAGAATATAAATTACGTACCTCAGACCCATGGGGGTGCCTCTCTTTTATAGTCAACTCAATCCTAGTCTTAATAGAAGCCTAGCTTCCATGGACTTTTAGCTCAATGCTCATCCCGGACTCTCCAACGGATAAAGATAAACTCTCTAAGAGCTTTATCCTTATCTAAGCTGAGATCCTTCTTCATTCTAGGACTCTTGTGCCTAATCCGCTTTTCTCGGATTCCGATATCTTCGAAGGTAACCTCGGCCTAGCCGAGATAACCTCGGCATCACGACCGGGACACGTGGCACCTCGGCTGACACATCGACATCACCTTGACCACGTGTTGGTACTCAGAGAATATATCTCCACAGGTGGTATTCGTGTTTGTTGAAAATGCTGTTATATATATATATATCTAGATCAAAACCTTCTATAACTAATGAAATTTATATTGAGATCAAAATTTATAACCAATAAAAGCACACTCATTAAGTGCTTTAAAAATGAAGTGCTTTAACTAATGAAGTGCTTTAAAATTTATAACCTTCTATAACTAATGAAATTTATGTTCAGATCAAAATTTATAACCAATAAAAGCACACTCATTAAGTGCTTTCAAAATTTATCGCCTCATTGTAAATTATTTTAGGTACAAAAAATCTACAAGAAATATTAATTTTGATCTGAGAAACTATAAAGTGCTTTAAAAATGAAGTGTATCAAACAAAAAATAAAATAAAAGGGTCGATGTACACATCCAAAATAAATTTGGTCTACATATATAATTTTCAAAATACTTTTCAGGATTTTTCCCTCCCTCAATGAAGTGCCAAAATCAAAAAAATTACATTACAGATTATTATCCCCTGGCCAAGGAAGTCCTTGGAAATTATTTAATATAACGCACCTAATTTTTCGTTCAACATAAATGAGCGTGGATTTACCATTTAAAGTAACTTAGCAGTAATGAATCCCGTCTATTTAATAAGATGATTTAAATTGAAACAACTTAGGCATTGAACTCTGAATTCAATAAGTAAATGAAATTAAAACTTTCGTCTTTAATGAACAGTAAGTGAACGAAGGTAAAAATAGCTTCAAAGTTGCATCGATTACAGCTCAGGCATTCCTATCCTTTTGCCATTTTCATGCAATCCAGTCAGGTTAGTCTTTTTTTCTTTTCTTTTTTGAGCATAGGGTCGAAAGGTGAGGATTGGATTTACATTATTCATTTGGGCTTTTTATGTTACATTTTTATGTTAATCAGCTCCAATCTTTTGCTTCTCATTGTAATGCTTTAGATCTATACTACAATATGTTGTTTAATAAATATATCACCAACAATAATGCTATAGATTCAGAAAAATTAGCTTAAAAAATTACCAAATCCATTTTGAGTGTGACTCACATCATACTAAATATGAATTTACACAATACATTTTATTTTCTAACCACTTTTCGATTATATTTTCTTTTTCTTTTTCTTTTTTGGTTCTGTAACTTTTTTTTTTTTTTTCATTTTACCAAAGACACAAGAAGTGTCTCTAAAGATAATAATATTCACAAAAAATGTAATTCTCCATAATTAAAAAAATAAAGAAGAAGAAAGGATAACAAATGAAATATAAACTCTTTTCTGAGATCCAAACTACCAAAGTATTTTGCTCATTTTTTAAGAAATTTCAATGCCATTTTGTTCATTTATATTTTAGTCATTTTATATGTTTACTTAGCATAATCAGCTTTTATTAATTGGTACAAAACGTTTACATGTATGCAGGGCGGAGGCACAAAGGAGTCAAGGGTATGCCCCCCTCAGTTTGTAATTCTTTTATTATAATTTATTTATGCTAAAAATAATGTGTTTTGATTTGCTAAATTTAGAATTTTGATTTGTGATTATTTGTACTACAATTAGAAATTTTGATATGTTGAAATTAAGAATTTTCATTTGTGGTAGCGATTTGTGCTAAAATCAGGAATTTTAATTTCTTACCGTCAATAGTAAACTTTTATAAAATTTTCATGCTTCACAATTCAAAAAATCTTATATTTTAAGCATAAAAGTTGTTATTTTATTAAGATTGTGATTAATAGTTGTTGCATTTGTGAGTAGCAGTAGTAGGGGTATTTTTATACTTCCGAATCTCTCTCAAAGCACGTCATCTTTCTGTAACTTTAATTTCATGCTGTTAATGAAATTTTTCTTTGTCGGTCAAAAAAAAATAGTTGCTGCATTTGAATTAATTTTCTCATTCAACCACTGCAGATATGGTAATGTAATTGAGGGTTTTGATAAAAGAACTTGATGGTGCATACTAGTGGAGCAGCAACATATCCATCAGTAGTGATGATGATTCAAGCTCCATACACACAAGCTATGAAGAAGAAGAAAGTATCGACAATATTTGCAATATCTTTGGTGTTGCTTTTGTTTTTCTACCTTGTCAACATTGTTGCACTCTTCTTCCTCGTCAACATTGCCCACGTTATCTCTAAATCATACACCACATTGTCATCATCAACCACCACCACCACCACCACTCCAGGTTTAATTTATTTCATGTACTTTTAATCTTTGTTCTAATTAGTTTATGTTTAGGTTAACAATTATAGGACTGGCTTGTCTTAAGGTCTACTTTTGATGATTTAGTTTACACTCTGTATTTTTTTAATTTGACCAGATAATCGTAATTATTTAATTTATCATCAAATAAATGAACGGCGTGTGATTTTAACAAATATTTGCAAAATAGAGGATGAAATTGTGCAGGGAGGGATATGATTGTTATATTAATATGCCTTTCTTTTTTATGAATGATCCATCTACACACATGAATCAAGTAAGGTGTTCATCAAAGTAGGTGTTATGCTGGACTGACAAAATCCATTTGCATGACTAGAGACAAGTCCTAGCAATAATGCTACCAACATTGAGAAAATAGTATTACACATAGAAAAAAGTAATTGAAATATAAAAAGAATATCATTAAAAATAAACAAAAATTTGATCAAAAATGCATATAGATTTTGTTTAAATTTTTGTTTGTTTTTAGTGTTTTTTTTTTTTTATAAATATTTTTAGTCAATTTGTTTTACTTTTTAGATGTATCTTGATTAAGTGCGTCTAAAAAATATTTTAAAAAATGATTAAAATATTTAAAAAAATCAATAAAAATAGAAAACTCATCTAAAAATAATTTTTGAAAAATCAAACCAAGAATTTTTTGAAACTGTTGTTTTACTTTTGCTTTGTAAACTAACATTCTTTCTTCTTTTTTTTTCACTTTATTTATTTATTTGGTTTTGTTTTGGCATACTTGTGTGTGTATATGTAGATACATACAGACAAACATACATGGAAGAAAAACTCTGGACACGAGTATGGGAGAGCCCTGAGCCCAGCTGGTCAATCACATGTGATACTGCCCATTTTGAGTATGATCTCTGTTATCTCAACCGTCCAACTGTGGTGGATCCAACGGCTGCAACCTTGTCTTCTGTGGACCCCACAAACATGACCCCACCAACAGTGATAAAGATCCGCCCCTATCCTCGTAAAGGTCAACCCGAGGCCATGCAAAAAACCAAGGAGCTTAAACTCACCACAACCCCACTCAATACTACCTGTGCCATCACACACACTACCCCAGCCCTAGTATTCAGTGCGGGCGGCTTCACTGGAAATGTCTTCCATGACTTCAATGAGGGTTGGATTCCTCTCTTCCTCACCGTTGATGAACACTTCATCGACCGCGATGTCATCCTCGGGGTCATCAACTGCAGTGATTGGTGGCTGATCAAGTACGCCGAGTTGTTCTCACACTTCACGCGCCACCCCATCATCAACCTTGACAAAGAAACCGCCACCCATTGCTTCCCATCAGCGATCGTAGGGCTCAAAACACACGGGGTCATGATACTGGACCCCACATTGCAACGAAGGCCCCACCCGAAGACAATGCACGATTTTCGAGCCCTCTTAGCAAATGCATACAATAATAATAATAATAATAATCCAGGTCATTCAAGCCATGCAGGCCACGTACTGCCAACTTTCTCATCAGGACCTCGGCCGAAGCTGGCGTTTTTGAGCCGCCAGGACACCCGGAGGCTACAAAACGCCGAGGAAGTCCGGCAGGCCGCGGAGGAGGTGGGGTTTGAGGTGGCAGTTTTTGAGGTAACGGCTGGAACCTCGATGCGACAGCTGTTCAAGCTGATTGACAGAAGCCATGCAATGGTGGGGGTCCATGGAGCAGGACTGACACACCAGCTGTTTATGCGGCCAGGGGCGGTGTTGGTGCAGATTGTGCCGATCAACACGGGGTGGTTGGCCGACATGTGTTACGCGAAGTTGGCAGTTCGATTGGGGTTAGAGTACATAAATTATGAAGTTGGGATACATGAGAGTAGCTTAGAGGCTGATGAATTTGCTCTGAAGGAGTTCTTGGATCCGCACGATCCAGCTTCGACATTGATGGGGAATTTGACAAATTGGTATAGATATATGGAGCAAGATGTGAAGATAGATGTGGTTAGGTTTAAGAGGTATATGAAGAGAGCTTATGAAAAGGCTGAGATGTTCATGAACAAACAAAGTTTGTATGCCGATATATAATTTGCCCAAAATTTACTTACAAAATGTTATAGAAGCATAGTTTTGGAGGGACTGGGGAAAAAGAGACAGATTTTTTGTGTGGGTAATAATTGTATATTTGGGAATTGAAATATGTCCCTTTCGAGAATTTGGCAGCAACATATTTACTTTACTAGCATTGTTATACAAGTTTAAAAATTATATCTAATTTCAAATTCAATGATGTAACAATCAATTAGAACATCTAAAGTAAGACATTCTCTCTTGTTTTCTCAATCATCAACTAGTCATATTACTTACATATCATTAAATCTAGAAAATAAATCCAGAAAATGAGCTTGTATATCATTTTCCTTACTTTACACCGCTGAAACACAAATGCTTATATATTAGAAAATGATATAAAGTATATTTTTTGACCTATTTTTTAGACCCAGTGATATATCAAGAAGATGATTGGTTGATAATTAGAGAATATCAACCAATCATCTTCTTGTACATCACTAAATCTAGAAAGTTGATCTAATTTTTGGACCTGAATAGTGTATTTGTTTTGTGAATTCAAATAGGAGGTGAAAAAACAGATAAAATTCATTTTGTGATAATTTATATTAGGGAAAAATTCATTTAACCCCTTTGTGGTTAGAGCCCGAAATACTTTACCCCCTTATAGTTCAAATATATGCGAAGAGATTCTTTGTGATTTTGGACCAAATTGCAACACTTAATCTATTAACGTTAGTGATAAAAAGACAATAGTGCCCTTTGTTTCCCCCCTCTAATGTAATGACAATATAATGTTAGATAATGTCTCAATGAGACGACATAATTAAATGTGGTGTTATCATTTATAAGAAGCCTACAATTTAAGTGATTCAATTTAGTTAATAGGCTTAAGGGTATATGTGTTATGGACCTAATGTGTAGATACTAGTTGTATAATTTCTATTTCTATGAGGGGCAGAAATAGAAATTAAAACATGTTGGTTAAAGTTGGTTTTCATGCCTTTTGAACTTCCACAACCTTTCAGTTTTGAAAACCAATAAATAGAAATTAAAACCAATAATGGTTAAAGTTGGTTTTCATTCCTTTTGAACTTCCACAACCTTTCAGTTTTGAAAACCAATTACAACCTTTAAAAGGTTATGGTCCCTATTCCTTTCCAGGTGGAAATAAGAACACTGCCATTTTTTTCCTAAATCCTCTCAAGGAGAAACATAAGGCACCAAAGGGGGAAGGATTAAAAGACAATAACATAATCAATAACAAAAAGTTCATTGATAATCACGCTTCTATTTAACCGTTCATCAATGGATTCAGGTATGTCATTTTGTCTTGATTTCTTGATAATACACATGGTAAATGATCCAAAGTGTAAGGTTTATGTTCTGAAATTTATGTTTACAATTGGTATCAGAGCATGCATATCAGGTGTCTTATCGGAATTGATATGCTTTATTCATTCTATTTAGTTTCCTGGAATCAGATTCTGAATTTTCTTATGGATGTAAATTCTGTTTTTTCTTGTTTTGTTCTGTGAAAATGGCAATCTATTTTCTAGAATTGTAAAATGATTCGGTGGGCAGTTTTTTTTTTTCTCTCAAATGGATGAACATCATGGGCGGCTGGGAGGGGGCGGTGGAGGCAGGTTAGGGACATCTGGGGGAGGTGAGGGAAGAAGTCAGGATGGTGAGCAAGGTAGGTGAGGAGGGAGGTGGTGGAGGCGAGGAGATGGTTAGGGGTGGGGGAAGGATAAGGGTTAGGGTTTAAGGATAGAAGATGAAGGGTAGAAATGACTTTCTGCATTTTGATTTTACTTTAATTTTTTTTAAAAAAAGTATGCCCACTCTCAAAATTGGCAAGTGTAGTACACCTTCCATCAATTTAGATGGAAAATATAACGGTTACAGTTTAATCCAAAACCACGAGGAGTCTTTTTGCATATAGTTGAACTATCGGTTGGGTAAAGTATTCCGAACTCAAATCATAAGGGGGTTAAGTGAATTTTTGCCCTCTATATTATTTATTATTTTCAGAAAATAATGACACGAAACCTATGTTTATACAAAATCTTTTGTTAAGTGTCTGAAAATAAAAAATAAAAAATTTAAAAATAAAATTTGACTTCGTTTCGGAAAAGGTATACTAATCCTACCAAAGCCTGCCAAAATGTGTAGATCCAATTGCAATAATGGCTCCCAATACTAAAAACCTTCTTCTTTAGATTAAATAAAACAAATTTCAGCATTGTCATATAAATAGAATTTTTAATCTTTCTTCTTTTTTTTATCATCTTTTTGCAAGTGGTAGACAGAAAATAGTATGCTGAATTCTATTAAAGCTGATAGGGTTGTTTTGGAATAACGAAAGGCGATCAAAGATGAGGTCTCTTATCAATTCGAGTGTTTGTTCTTTGAGCAGTGGGAGAAGTAAGACCTAAACTATTGGGTTATCGTTGGAATCAATGTTTGTCCTCGTTGGATTCAGATATGCTTGAAGAAGCATTTTCAAAGAAGGAGATTTGGGAAGCTATCAAGTTAGCCATGGAAATAAAGCCTCGGACCCAATAGGTTTAATTTTTGGGATTGGCTTCCAATCTGTGATCGGACTGAAGGGTATTGTTGGGTTCGTGAAGGCCCACCACGGGTCTCGTTTCGTTAAATCAAATCATTCAATGTGTAGAACTCATTAAATACTATATGCCTGTAAACAATCACGTTGATCAGATACCGATAGTTATTTCATCGGATCAAATTTTCGTCAATCGTTTATTTTTTCATCGTCCAATTTTTTACACAAAACTGATTTGATCACGGAGCTACTGATATCCGATTAACGTCATATTTTACAGGCATGGAGTACTTAACAAGTTCTACACATTGACGATTCAGATTGTCAAAACGGGGTCCGTGATAAACCCCACGAGCCCAACAGCAAGTTTAAAGAGAGTAACAGTTAAAAGATGTTATTCACCCAAAATAAAACAATTAAAGATGCTTAATTAATATGTATTAAATTGGGGCTAATTAATTGCTAGGTAGATCCCATACATGCAAATAGACTTATTTAATTTTATATACTACCCGTTTAACTTAAAAAGATAAAAACGAAAATGCCATTGTCTCTCCTCCATTTCTTTTCCCAAACTTGAAAACCCAAGACTCAAAACAAAAAGATCATCTCCAACTCCAAGTTTCTCTTTGCTGGTGCTCTCTCTCTCTCCTCAAAAGTCACTCCCATGTCAAGTACTTCGTATCCATTTTTCTTATGTTTTAATTCTTAACGTTCACCACACCCATAAAACCATCAATCCATTCTACATACATACATTCATACATATATATATATATATATTACATTATATAAACCCAACCCTGGAATCTTTGAATTGATCTAATAGTTTTAATTAGTAACTGTAGATCTAATTGATTCACGTACGTAGTGTATGCCAACATCTCTAGTATATATATAGAGAGAAGAAATATTATGTACTAAGAAAAATACATAGATGTGCAAGTGCCACAGTAATAATTTGATTCATATATACATTAATGGTGTTTATACTTGATAGTTTTTTTTTTTTTTTTTTGGTGACTGCGTGTTTTTGTTAGTTTACGTGCAGATCTACTGATTTTGAGACCTTCCCAGGTGGAAATAAGAACACTGCCATTTTTTTCCTAAATCCTCTCAAGGAGAAACATAAGGCACCAAAGGGGAAAGGATTAGAAGATAATAACATAATCAATAACAAAAAGTTCATTGATAATCACGCTTCCGTTTAACCATTCATCAATAGATTCAGGTATGTCATTTTGTCTTGATTTCTTGATAATACACATGGTAAATGATCCAAAGTGTAAGGTTTATGTTCTGAAATTTATGTTTACATATAACACATCAAATCCAAATCATCAACTGGTCTCTTTGCTCCATCGTCTCTGCATCTATAACCCAATATTCTCTAATCCCAAAACTAATCAGCATACTGGTATATATAATTAAGTCAAACTAGTAAAGAAGAATTGAATGCTAACCCAGTTGAATTGCCATGACTGATCTAATCCATGACTGATCCAATAATAAATACACCTTTCTTTGTTTTTAACAGGGTCTAATTTTTTTGAAAAATGATTTTTCCAACATTTTAATTTCATTTATAATTTAATTATTTAAGTTACACATTATACATATATAAACACAGGTATGTACATTTGTATACATATACGTATAGCAGAGGTTAAGTTGTTCATATATATATAGGCCCGTTTACGTTGTATTGAATGTTTCATCAATAAATGTTGTTTTTTTATTGATAATATATATATATATATACAGACTGTTTTTTTTTTTTTTTTGAGCGGCGAAAAAGAAGATCTTTATTGATGAAACCTACAAGAATGACAAGGATACATCAATAAAGAGGAGCTCGAAGCTAACACAAGCTAGGAGCTCCAGTTGGCAAGGAGCCAACAAGAAAAAGAGAAGAGAAGGGGGACCAAATACACATGGCCAATTACAACACCAGATTACAAAATGCTGCCAGCAAGCAAACCAGGTAGCAGATCACACTGGCAGCAGCAAACCAGGTAACCGAAAACACCTGGCCATTGACACAGGTTTATACAGACAGCAGCCAAACAGACAGCAATGACCAATTACAACACAGAGTTACAAAATGCACGAAGCTAACCCAAACAGACGCCAATGGCCAGACAGCAGACCAAAAAAAAAAAACCCAGACAGCAAACCAGACATCAAACCACAGCACAACCCAGACAGAGATACACAGCTGCAAACCAGATAGAGATACACAGCTGCAAACCAGATAGAGATACACAGCTGCAAACCAAGTAGATAGAATTACAAAGCAGCAAGCAACTCAGAAATACACAGCAGAATTGCACTACCCAGAAAACCTGAACATATCAGATAGCAACTCAAGAGCGTATGCAGTGCCTAACACCTGAGGCATTGAAGAGAAAATCATTGATGGAGAATGGAAAGTGTTTGGAAGAGGACT